ACAGAGAACAAGGGACTGGTGGCAGATTTGGTGGGACCAAGAAAGTATTGGGAAATCCAGTGTGTATAAAAAGAGAGAAAGGAGATGGAAACAGATGCAGAAATCCACAGCTCACCAATTGGCCAAGCTGCTGGAGTACAGTCAAAGTGAGGAAGGAGCAAAAATATGAACAAAGGAGTCAAGACCATGATGGGGAATCCCACAGAATCAGCTGACCTGAGCTAGTGAGAGACCACTGACTCTTGTCTGACAAATGGGGAATCTGCATAAGACCAAACTAGACTTCCTTAATATAGGTGACAATGGTGTGACTGGGACAATAGCAACTGACAGTGGGTCCAAGACCTAACACTAATGAACAAACTGACTTAGTGGAGCCCATTCTATATGGAGAGATACCGTGCTCAGTCTAGACACAGGGGAGTGGAGGTGGAGAGGTGCCTTGGTCCTGCCTCAATGAGATGATGGGACAGACTTAGTAGACTTTCTAGGGTAGACCTTACCCTCTTCGTGGAGCAGATGTGTGAAGGAGGGAGTGGTGGGAGTGGGAGGAGAGGAGGGAGAGGGAACTGGGATGGATTGGAATGTGAAAAATAAATTAATAATGAAAAAAGAAGAAGAGAAGGGTTGGCCCAAGAGCAAGATCCTTAGCATCAGTTGTTGGTAATAAGAAGTGGAAAAGTGACCAAGATGATAAGCTACGGAGGATGCAGATCTAGAAATTTTAGAGGTAAATTTATGCTTTTCATGTAAGCTAATCTGCCTCAGGTAGCTTGTTACAGCAGCACAAATGGACATGACAGCCTGATTACCCAGCCTGGAATCATGGACACAAAACCGAAGGGACCTTGTTCCTTCTAGATCAGCTCGCCAGCCTACATGGTCCGCTTGTCTTGCTCTTTTGGCTTGTGGAGTTGGGTGATGCTTCAGGAGCCAGTCAACATTCATGAATAAGGCAAAACATTGCAAGAAAACGGTCTTACCCAAACTCACAGGCTTCTGCGCCTGTCATCTGATGGGGAATCCATGGTCCTGGATTCCTAGGTGCTGCGGATTCAATTTCCCACAAATTCACACTCATAAGTGAACGTCTGTGGCTCCCATTACCTCATGATGTGACCTTATGGGGGGACAGCGTTGTGAACACATATTTAGTTTAAATGAGGTCATACTGGAAGAAGGTTGGTACCAGAACCAATATGAATGCTATTTCTTCACATCACCCAGCAGCAGAGGAAACAGTTGACACCGAATAAGGATTGGACCCCCCAGGTTGCAGATCTGGAAAAATCTTCAGGAATCGAGAAAAAGACAGCGTGGAGAGTCTGGTCATTGGATGGGCATTCTGAAGGCTTCAGAGTCTCAAGAAACCTTGGCAGAAGTAGTTGTACAAGATATAAGGGAAAAGAGAAAGCAGGATGGAAAGAAGAACAATGGGAAAGTGTATTCAGGTGCATACAAGGTTGTACTTGAAAGTCGGCTGAGGCACCAAGTCAGTGCCCTGTCACGAAAATATGTCATGGACTGTGATTCAAGACAGGGAAATCAGAGGCTTCTGGGAGGTATGGCAGGGCTGCCTCTCACCAGCACACCCCAAGTGTCAGTGACTCTAAGGAATGATAGGCCCCTGTCACTTTCCTGCAAACATCAGAAATCCCTGATCTCTGAAATGTGAGAAAAGCCGGGATACTGATGTCTGCTGCAGAGAGAAAGCCCAGGAGGTTGGCAAATCTTTCCATTAAAAGAATGAAGTCTCTGGGGAGTGGAGAATGTGAAGTGCTTCCTGCCCCTGGTGAAAACCTGAGTGCATTACCCAGTACACACTTAAAAAATAGGGTATACGGGCAGGTATGTTGAATCTCAGCACCTCAGTGAGAGGCAAGGAAGAATAAAAAGTCCTGCCTAGCCCGTCATTCTAGCACAATCAGTGAGCCGCAGGTCCAGAGGTCCTGTTTCAAAAAATAGAGAAGGAATAACTGAAGTAGATAACAGATTCTGACTTATGACATCTCTGCACACCTGTGCATGTGCATGCGTGTGCACACACACACACACACACCACACACCACATACACGGTTCCCTCTCTCTCTCTCTCTCTCTCACACACACACACATACAGAGAGAGAGAGAGAGAGAGGGGGAGGGAGGGAGGGAGAGAGAGAGGGAGAGAGCGAGAGAGGAAGAGAGAGTTCTTTGAAATCAGGCTATCTCCAGGGTCACAACATTTCCAACCCCTTCTTTGGCTGCAAAGCACACATCAGCATTGTGAGTGAGCAAAGAACAAGGTAGAGGAGAAAACACTGGAACCCGGCCCCACCCACAGTATCCTAGAGAGGTCAGGGAGTATGGGGGGGGGGCAATCAGAGACACAGAGACAGAGTGTCATCAGGGGTCTGTTGTGCTGTCCGGGTGTGTGGGGTCCCCGCATTGATTGCAAGGCTGGGCGTGGCTAGCTAATACTCCACCCATCGCTGGGGACGTTCCAGAGAGGCACCCCCACGGGACTCCTCTGCACTTGGGCACAGGCCAGAGAAGGCTAGGCCTGGCCTGAAACTAACAGGAATTGTCGAGCCGATCGAGACATCTGCACCGTCAAGCACGGACGTGATCATTTATTTATTTCGGGGCGGTGGGGATAAACATGCATGCTGTGAGGACCTTTCAAGCCCCACAGTGTCTCCCAGATGGTCATCTTTTGGAGGCGGAGCTGCAGGGGTGATGGCTGAAAGGAGGAAGCTCCCTTCTAAGGAGTGGGCGCAGAGGGGTCCCTGGCAGGCCAAATCCTGGCTGCTGACCTCTTCCTGGCCACCTTTAGGATGGTCTTATCAAAGAGCTCTTTCTCACGATGGTGCACGGGTGGGCCACGCAGGTACTTCTCTTCTGCCTCCTTGTAGCTGAGCTCATCCAGGGCAGCGATGGAGCAGATGATAGCTTCTGGAAGAAGAACCTCCATGGTAAGTCGGACTTTGTCCCCTCTTGCCAGGGACAGCAGGGCCTCATCTGCTTCCTTGGATATCTCTTGCAAATGTCTGGCCACAAGATGCAACTGGTCCTCATCTTCCAGGTAGGTCTCAATGCAGAAGACTTCCCTGTTTGACTTCCAAAGGTTATCCAGCCACCTGGACGGTTTCCTGCCCTTTACGATGTCCAGCAGGTGCTGGTCTGCCCCCTTTCTCTTCAGGATGAAGTCTACGAGCTTCCGGTTGGCTCTGTCCCAAGCGGCCCTCATGCGGTCAGGCAGGAGTTTCTTGCGGGGCCCCTTCCCACCCAGGGAGGTCTCCTCCTCCCAGTCTTCCAGGTCAGCATAGCTCACCTTGGGGAAATCAATGTGCAGCTCGCCCTCTTGGATGGCTCTCCTTAGCGGGTAACTGGCTTGGGCGGTGTAGTAGTCCATAAAGGAGCCCAGGAAGGAGCCGCAGGCGAGGTCCTCTCTGTAGTGGTCGATCACTGACAGGCACCAGTTGATGCCCTGGCCATACACTCTGCTGGCTCTCCTCAAGAGCACTGATTTCTCCCCACAGTCCAGGGGCTTCAGCTTGCGGAGAGGGACTCGGATGCCCCTGTGCTCAAGCTGCATGTTGCCCTCGACCAACAGCACCCTCGCCATCTTGTCGTTTTTGCTGACACTCTTGACCACCGCTGGCCAGAAAGGAAGGTCCTGGAATTTGAACCAGACCAGCATGCCTCGTTCGATGGCATTTGGCCCCTGGGCACAAGTCACGTTGGTGGCTTGGCAGACTTCTTGAACTCCAGTCACTCTCCTCTTGACCCTGGTGCCAGTCACCTTTGAGTGCACTGGAATGTTCAGTTCCGGGAGCATGCACTGTGCACACCGTACATGCACCTTCCTTTTCCGGCAAGCAATGCGGAGTGATCTTCGCAGCCTCGGGACCGGGGGCGTGCAGGCTGCCGATGCCCCCTTTGAGTCTGGCTTTGGAGTCCCAGGGCCGGGGTCCTGCTCGTTCCCTGGGAGGGTGGTCTTCTTTTGGGCTCCCATAGCCCTGGTCTCCAGGCCGCCATGCCGTACTTGGTGCCGGAGAGCTTTGGGTGAGGTAGAGGCCTGCCTGGGTGGCCCAGAGGCAGCCTGCTGCTCATTTTTAGCTCGGGCCCTCCCCCCTGGAGGCTGGGGCGCTGAAAGACCTGAGCTTGGATGCCCTCAGCTTCCTCCTGCCCGGATGGTCACCAGCATTTCCTGCTGGTGGCTTGGAGGAACTTGGCCACACTCTAGTGCCTCTTAACAAGTTCCCTTGCGTTTCAAAGTGAGGGAGCCCAACAGCAGTGTGTGCCTGGGCTTTCCCCCCCTTGCACTGCAGGCTCATTCTGTGAGCCCACCCACACAGGTCCCAGGCGGCCCCGCTTCCCAGGACTCCTGTGGGAGAGCCCCTGGCCTTTCTGGTTGTGCTCTTGGAGGTGCAGGCGCTGGCGTGAGCTGGAGCTGGCCTGCTCTCTTGGAACCTTCAGAGTCACTGTGCTGTTTCTTCTTCGGCCACGCGCCCTTCCTCCTTGATACAAGCAGGTTCCCTTGCCCAGAACGTCTAGCGCCACCTTGAGGGCTCTTCTGTATGCCCTGGTCTGCCGTGGCGAGCCATTGCCCTGTGACTCCTTTCCTGCCACGGAGGCGATGGTCACAATTTCCGACTCGGTTAGGGGCCTCACCTCTGTGCTCCTCACTCTCGTCTTCTCCCCCACAGGCAGAATCTGGACCTCCAGGAAAGATGCCCCTCTCCTCTTACTGTGGGCTGAGGTCCTGGGTCTGGATAACACCCTCGCAGGCCACAGGTGGCCCTTCCAGCCACAGAGCACATACTCTGCAGAGTCCATGGTGACGGGACTCTGGAGCTGTGCTGCTCAGGACAGGGTCGCTCCCTTGCTTGTGGTGGGCGCCTTGACTGCTGGTCGTCTGTGGCCTGGTCACCCTGCCCGTAGGTCTATCCTCCCTCCAGAATATGTTAGACAAGCTTGAATTGACGTCCTAGCTCAGGGTGATGTGGGCGTGTCCTGTAGCTGGGAAGAGGGAAGCAGAGCTGCATCAGGAGGGAATTAGCCTTCTGAGGACACAGAAGCAACAGCTCAGTGAGGTGAGGAGAGAGAAAGCAAGGGAGTACACAAAGTCTCATCTACAGAAGCGAGGATATGTGTGGGAGAAGATATGGAAGGATCCAGAGCAGGTTCCCCACCCTGAGGCTGAGTTGGTAATCTTCCTCCTGGAGAGGTGAGTGTCCTAACTTACATGGCCTGTGTGTTTTCTTGCCCATCCCGTACCTTGGGGCACCCTGGGATTATCTCGGGGAGTGGGGGAGCCTCACCGTTCTCTTTCCTAGGGAGCTAATCCCGCTCTGCCCCATCCCAGGAAGCACGAGGACACCTAGAGCACCGGTGCCTTCCACACCAGTGAGATAGATACCAGGATGGGGAGCAAGTGGGTGAGGAAATCTTCATGGTGACACACGCAACAGGGCAAGTAAGGATGGTTGCTGTCACTGTCAGAGCTTCCGGCCCCCCCACCCCCACCCCTCCAGGCCCCCATAACGTGGTTCAGATCTCTCGTTCCAAACTCCATCCTCCTGGACCTCGCTGTGGGATCGTGTGTCCGCATGGCCCAAAGGAGAGTCCCCTCCCCAAAAGAGAAAGCACCTCACTGTGGAGAAATGCTTACCGATTGGCACACCCGGGGGACTCAGGTGGAGAGCGACAGGGTAAGTGTCTCTGTTGGAATTGCCCATCCTCCTGCTGCCACCTCAAGCCCGTAGACCCGACACACCCATATCTGTCGGTGATGGGCACAGTTCTACCAACAGATCCCGGGCCACAGAACTCTCCCGCACCACAACCTCTGCGCCCTAACGTTAATCTCCAAAGTCTTAAGACAGTCGGGAAATCAAAGCAGCTGCTTGATGACCTGGATCGTCGCCACTTGCCCATCCCCAAGTCCAGAGGCCATGCTTTGAAGCGGGGGTGGTGCCCAATCTCATCTGTAGAGTAGCTCTCCTGTTCATGTTCCCCCATGCCCTGCCTCTCCACATAGTTCCTTCCCCTTGGGCTCCTCGGTGGAATCCCATCCCTTTCTTCTCCTCACGGTGACTGGATGTGTGCCCGCGGTCTACTCCTTTCCTTGGGCCCATGGTTTCCTATCAGCAGTGAGCATGCCATGCATGCCTGCGGGACCAAAGCCCACTTCTGTCTGATCCTCAAAAGAGGCCCCCTGTGCTTGCAGAGAAGGACCGCAGACTTTGAAGGACCACAACACAGGAGAACCACAAAGGGCTCATGCGCCACAGCTGCTCACAGTTCATGCCAGGATGCAGGTGGTTCCTGTCATTACCTGGGCCACCACCAGGCCCAGTGAGGCAGAACACTGTGGACTCTGGGCTCCTGACACAGCTCCCTAAGGACACTGATCTTCTTGGGGACTCCCAAGAAGTTACCCCACACCCCTCCTGTGAGCGTGGGCACACGGAGCTCTCCCTTAGGGACTCCAGTCCTGACCCATAGGAATTCCCAACCGTATGGAAATATGGGAGGCAGATGATGTTCATACCATTACCTCGGTCGTCCCCTTCCCACGCTCTGTATCCATACACCCCACTGGTACATCCTAGCTCCCTGTTTACTGTGCAAATGTGCGGTGTCCCTTCTTCCGTATTCCCATTCAAGCCTTACTGACTTCAAATCTGATTTCACAGCGCACAACGTGGCTGTCTACATGAAGGAGTCCAGGTCTGTCCCAGGCCACTCCTGCTCGGTGCTGCAATAGTAAATGTGTACTGTGGAAGTCTGCGGCCCAGTGTAGGGATCTCCTGCAGTGATTGTCACTCTGAGGAATTTCTGTGACCTTAAAGGGTTGGCCTCCTCTGATCCAGCCCCCTTGGAGTCCTGGGCCACAGCTGTCTCCTGAGGACACCGGGGAAAACATAGGCGCCTCAGTTACTTCAGGCTGCCTTCTGCTGGACCTTCTCAGAACATGCCTTCCAGCAAGGCTGAACGAGCACCATCAAACCCAACTATGCCCCCATATCCATGCACCACGCCTCGGGCACGAGAGAGTCCGCCCCTCACTCAGCGCCCTTAGAAACCACAGATGCCCGAGTTACGCTTATAGAACGCAAGCTTTCCACCCCAGGCAGGTCTGCACGGGCTTCTATTGCCTCAAGCATGATGTCCTCAGCCTCACACACTCCCTGAGCTAGAAAACATACCTGGGAATGCCAAGTATGTGTTCAAGCCCACAAGCCCAGGGCATCCGCACAGCATCTGTAACTCAGTCATGAAGAAAAGTGTCTGCACTCAGATCAGGCCACACTCTCCCCAGTGTGCGTAATCCATGTGGGCATGCCTGTTGCTCCAGGGCATAGAAAAGTCCTAGCATTATCTACAGCCTGCTTAAACATTGTCAGTAGTGCCACCTGCCTCCATCGTTTCAGGCATCACCTCCAGTGCAGTAGCTTCAGCAGTTACCTTTCGGGTGAAAACAGCACTGTCTTACCCAGAGGTGCAGGGAAAAGTGGGCAAGATGGGATCCTGAAATCTCTGTCTCAGCACATGCTTCGGCCCCGTGTCCGAAGGCCTTCTATCAAGAACTTGCACGCAGCCCCCGTGTTCCAGGTTAATTCACATTTTCTCCAGATGGGAACTTGCAGGTGGCTTCCCTCCCTGTGGTAAGACAGACGGGGCGGGGGGGGGAGAGGGAACAGTCTGGTGAGAGGGTGCATGAAGGGTACAAAGATCATTGCTCACTCACGGGGCCAGAGATACACAGAGAGTCCCATATGATGTGCTGGTGGGTCAGAGAGAAACCCCAGCCGCTCATCCCGTAATGCCCAGCTAGCTGAGGTTTGACCCAACCGTGAGTGAGTAAAGATTCACACCCTGACACAAACTGATAGCTGTCGAGGGAACACATTCTGCTCCTTCCTCAGGCATTCACTGATTTTACCTCAGTCTGCCCAGCTGAGATTAGTGACCAGTTTAGAGGCAGCCCTCTTTTGGACGCACGTCTTGTCAGGTCTCCAGGCCAAGAGACTGGAGACCTTACCTTGGCTTCATCCCTGCAAGTGAACTGGCCATGCTCGAGCCCGGGTCTCCCCCCAAACCCCCCTCCCCGCCGTTTACCTCCTCCTTAGATGCCTTCAGGCTCCTCCCAGACAACACAAGCCACAACTATCTCGGGTAAGGTGCTGTCACACGAAAACGGTCAGGAGCACATGTGACAATCGTCGCCAAACAGAGACGAGGCATCCATTTACGTGGGTTGGTGATCTATGCTCTCGGGGCCTGAAACGATAAAGCTGGCACCAGAGAGGTGTCACCTGAGGACAAAGAGACAGGGCTGGCTGAGCAGCCAGCCCTTGGGGCTTCGCTTCAAACAGTAGTAGTGAGAACCTCTCCTGTCCCATGAAAGAGCAAGCACGCTCCCGAGGCACACTCACAGGCTCAGCTCACACTCACTCAGGCTGGCTGCAGGCACCTACCTACGCGCTTTGCCTGTCTGCCTAGCGACTCCACCTCTCCGGTCTGAGTATCCGGTCTGAGTATCCTTCACAAATGTATCTGTAACCAGGAAAGAATGGCTTGTCCCCGTTGTCATGGCAACCACAGTGTCATCGGGAAAAAAAAAACAACATTCTCTCCTAGTAGCCAGTTCTCTGTGGAAATCAGGACGTACTAATCCACCCAGGAGGCTGACTGTTCTCTTACATCTCTGTCACCTAGCTCCCCCCACACCTCCGCCAATCCCCGGCAACGGCATGCACAAAAGAAAGTAAGCATCCACACACATACTACAGAAGGTGATGCTGACATTCCAGGGCCCAGGGGGCCTTGGTGCAGGGGCTTTGACCACAGAGTGTCTGGGAGAAGGCAAGGCAAGAGGAGACAGAGTCCTTTCTGCCGTCTTCATACAATTATACCAGGCAGCAGGGGCCAGATGTGAGAAGAACACTTTTTCACCTGCCAGAATTCTGAAGGCAGGCAGGTTGTTCCTCCAGATGCAAATTAAGAGTTTTAGGTCACTTGGCAGAAAATAGGGAGGACCGTAGACCTGCGGGAATTCAGGTGACAACGTCATCAAATAAGGAAATAAATAAATATAAAGTAAATAAATTAATAAATCTCAAAACTCGAGGAGGAAGGATAGAGAGCAAATTTCAACTGGCGGGAGGCTGGGGAAACCTCAAAATCCACCCACAGTAGCATATGTCCTCCCTCAGTGCCACATGCCCCGACAACCCCAAACAGTGCCATCTATTAGGAAACAAGGATTCAAAAACCTCAGGCTGTGGAAGATATCTCATTCAAATCAACACACACACACACACACACACACACACACACACACACACACACGCGCGCCCGCGCACACACACACACATGCACCACACACACACACACACACACACACACACGGGGGGGGGGGCACGACTGTGTTCCTTTAAGCTGCCTCAAGGCATGTCTACTACTCCAGGCATCCTCCCTGCATCTAGTATGATGCTTTCTCATCCGATCAGATGACACCATTTTGGAAAGTTCGCCTCTTCAGGGTTTTTCTGCTTTTCTCACGGCACATACATGGATCCTTACAGAGTATGCATTTTGCCTGACTGCTTTCTCTTAAAATACTGCCAGCGTTCATGGAGTGGCAGTACATTCCTTCTCAGGACTGAGTAGCATTGTGTTGTGCTGATGTACTATGCCCGGTATATCTCTTTTTCATGAGGAGGTATTGTGGGACTTCCCCACTGTGAGTAAGGCTGCCATGAGCTTTGGCATACCTACATTTGCTCAAATGCTTCTAGTCAGGCAATAGGCCCATACCTAGGGATGGAGTGACTGTGTGATGGGCTGATGGAACATTACCCGTTTTGATGAACACAAAGGTGCTCCCCACGGTAGATACAGCATTGCAAATCTCCACAGCAGCAAGGCCTTGGGATTCTTCCTATGATTAACAGTAGTCCTCAGTTTCCTTCCAAAATAGTCGAGTAACTTGTGTGTGTGTATGAGTGTGTCTGCATGTGTGTGTGCATATGTCTGCATGTGTCTGCATACGTGTCTGTGCATGTGTGTGTGTGTGTGTGTGTGTTAGTGGGGGAGTGTGAACTTCACTGCTGTCAAATTATGTCTGTTGCATTCCCTAAGATCAGATATCATGGAACTTGTGTCCCGATTGGGCTTCATGCATGCCCAGATGATGTGGTGGCAAGGCATGGTCATTGCAGATCCAGAGTCCTTGGGGGAGGACAGTAGGACCATGAAGTGTCAGGGCCCAAGCTGAACAGTACAGTGACAGCCAGGAGTCTCACTCCTCCTTTGTGTGGGACAAAGGTCCTGAAGGCAACCAGAAACCGGGCCCTGGATACTACAGGCCTAAAAAGGCCAGGCTGGAGACTGTGCAGTGGACAGGGGACTAGGGACCTCCTGTTCTGCCCCTTGTGTACTTTTGCAGTCATCACTGGACACCTGGATTCTCCAGAGAAGCAGCCATGAGTGGTACTCAGACAGGAGGGGCACAACCACAGACGTGAGTCAAGCGTGAACAGCTACAAGCCCTAAGTTACACTCGAGTGGCTGCTGGATGGGTGTCCCTTAGGAGCACTTTCAGCTAGTGTCACGCATGCTTGCCGGCTTCTCTAGAGAGGCCAGCACCCTTAGTTTCCAGAAGTGAGGACGAACCCTGGGAAAGGAGGACCTCTGGTGACTGTCATGAAGCATGTCTATGGGTGAGTGACTATGTGTTAGGGCCCATGAGGTGATGTCATGGGCCTCACTTCCACTCTGGGGTGGACAAGGGCCAAAAGGGCTTCCTGGGCAAGCTTTGTGAAGGTGTTAGGGACCCCAAGGAGTGGGCAGGACTGCGTGTGTGCTCCCGCAGAGACGAGGAACCTTTCACATGGCCCTTCCAGTACCCTCCGGGTAGCCCTGCCGTTCTGCACAGGTCTATACTTCTGTACGCTGGCGCACCGCAAGCAGGGGGCAGAGGTGTTCCTGGCACTTTCAGCCCTTCCTAGGTGAGTTCCCAGCTTATGCATGCACAACCACAACCGTAAGCTCCAAGTCAAGTATGTGTTATTACGGGGTGGGCCTCAAGATGGCGAGGCTCACCCACGCAGACATGGTTTCCCACAGAGGTATGCAGCACTTTCTTCAAAGTGAGGTGAGGCATACCTGGGATGCCCCCTGGGGGACCAAGAGGGTCTCAGGATGGTGGTGAGCTGTGTCGTCCCTCTAGGTGAGTGACTAGGTATTGGGGTCCCAGGATAGTCCCAGAGGTGACGACATCTGCAGCCCGAATTCCACCGTGGCGTGGGGGAGGCCAGGAAGGGCCCTGTGGGAAAGCTTTGATAGGAAGCAGGGATGGAGAAGGGTGGGCAGGACAGGGCAGCACGTGTGCTCATAGCAGGATCAGGGCCCGGCCCCGTGTGGCCCTTTCCGAAGCCTTTGGGCAGAGGAGACATTTGTGCGGGCCCACACGGCCACAGTCGGGCCCGTTTGAAACAAGAGTCTGGGCGTTTCAGGTCCTCCGGGGCCTTCAAGAGTAATTTCCTGTCCACGCCTGCGCAGTGGCAGCTGGGCTGAGGCGAGGCAAAGGATTGGACAGGCGCGCACGCATGCGCCCTTGCGCATGTTCGCGTATTTTCCGGAAGTGAGGACTAACTAGCTGTGAGCACCGTCGAGGGGAAGCAGAGTTTCGGGCCGCCGTCCTGAGACCTGCTCCTCTAGGTGAGTGGCGAGGTATTAGGACTCAGGATGTTCCCTGGGGTGATGTCTGGCTCCTAAGTTCCACACTGAGTGGCCTAGGCCCCAGGAGGGAAGTCTAGGAAGGCTTCCTGAGGGACTAGGGACAGAGGAGGGCACCAAGCAGCACGCACGCACGGAGCACGACTGGGGACCTTCCACATGGCCCTTTCTCAGATCTTTGGGTACTTCAGATGTTCTCTCGGTCCACATGCCCACGGGTGGGCCTGTTTGAAAGAGGGGTGCGGGTCCTCGCAAGCCTCAAGACCGCGGTGTCTCGCATGCACATGCGCAGCCCGAACACCCAAGTCACGCATGCCTGAGTGCCAGGTGGGCCTCGGCAAGGTGGCGGCGGGGGGGTGGGGGCGGGGGTGGGGTGGGGTGGGGGGGTGTTGAGCTGGCAGGGTTCACACATGCACAAACGCTTTCCACTGAGGCGGAACACTTCCGGAAGTGAGGTCGCTGCAGCCGGGACTACCCTCGAGGGTGAGAGTGGTTTGTGGGGGCGGCGGTTGCTGTGAGATGCATTCTCCTAGCTGAGCAGACAGGTATTGGAAGCCGCCTGAGTGCATGAAGTGACTTCCGGAGCCTGAATCATCTGTCGAGTTGGAAAAGGCCCGGGAGGGAGGGCAGCCTGGGAAAGGGTTGTCAGGGCCACAGGGGCTGAGAGGAGTGGGCAGGACGGCCTGTGTGCTGCTGGAGTGTCTAGGGACCTTCTGGCCATACTGCAGACATTCTTCCCGGCCCATATTTCCCCAGGTGGGACCAGTTAAAAGAGGGTTGTGGGTGTTGCAGTACATTCTCGGCCTGACTTGTGCAGTTTCTGGTACACGCGGTTTCAGGTTCTCGAAAGTTTCAGTGCATGCAGACACAGACTCAATTCCCACCCCTGCCCAGCCGCCGCCTCCTCCGCCTCTGTGGCCTCCACCGCCCTGCCTCTCACTCAGTCAGAAGCCTGCTTTGCCAGATGGAGCGATGCTTACTTTCTGGGAAGTCTGGCTAGGTGTGACCCACCTTGGCGGGTAGGGAGGGTCTCTGGGGATCACTGTGAATCCAGGCCACCTAGGTCTGTGACGAGGCATGGGGACCCAGGATAGCCCATGATGTCCAGAGCCTCACTCCCGAAGGCCAGATTGAGCAACCGGCAAAGCCGTGTTGGGGCTGCAGGGCCCTAGGGTTAGGTGAGTGTGCAGAACAGTTTTGCCCGCTGGGGTAGGGACCTTCCAGGAGGCACATTCGGTACTCCTTGGGTACTTTGCAGACTGGTCCCGGGAGAGAGCTAGGTAGGCAGGCTCGCTGAACAGGGATGGTGCTCCGAGCCTTTCCTGTCCTTAATAGTGCAGGCCCCATTTCAGGTGCGTTCGGGTGCAAGTCCCGAGTCCCTCCGAGCCATGGTTTCTGGGTGGGACAAGGTTAGCTAGGTGTTCTGGGAAAGGAAATCCAGTCTCCTCCAGGCCCTGTTACTGGGGTTCCCAGCTCAGCCATGTACACCACCTGCAAGACCAAGTCAGTCCCCGCGTCTCACCCTTCAGCACCCTGGAGCAGGTTCACACATGCCTGCATGCTGCTCCTCCTAACCAGGAATCATGCCATTCAGGGAAAGGGGGCCTACTCAGGTGGGACAAGCCTCCCAGGGGAAGAAAGCTCTCAGGGGAAAGTGGCTGAAGCGTGATCACCTAACCTGAGTGGGTCCCTGTTCTGAGGTTCTGGTGGTCAAAAAATCAGAGCCAGCCTGGATCCACAGTGCTGGGTGGTGGCACAGAATGGGACCCCAGGGTGTCGCGGACCTCCCTGGTTGTGTTCATTTCTGCAAGCCTCCCTTCTGCAAGGGGCCAGACAGAATCCCAGGCTCCGCAGGTACTAGAAGATGTGCGGGTTACACAGTGAGGTGTGGGGAAGAGCATGGAAGGTCCCCATTGCCGCTGGTCAACACCGGATGTGTGTCCCCACTTCCACTTGTGATGTCTGCTGGGCCCTTTCACGCATGGCAACTGCTGGGCCCGAGACAGGCAAGTGAGACCCATCTGTTGCAAGAGCACCTCCCAGGCCCTACCTCATGAGTTTGCATGGAACTCTCAGACCACACGTTCATCTGTGCCACATTGGCCTCAACCAAGGATGGATGCTTGGTCCACCGCAGGCAAGTGTGCCTGCTGGGCCATTGCACACCTGTACGCATGCGCGAGCACGAGCACACACACACACACACACACACACACACACACAGACACACCCTCATGTATGTGTACCAGCTGGGCCCACATGCTGGGGCCTTCCTCATCTATAGGTGCTGTTCCAGCCAATCAAAGCATGTTTGTGGAGGCGGGCAGTATCAAGGTGTTACCTTCCTATAAAGAGAAGGGGGTTGTTGAGGGGAGGGCCTTGGAATAGGAATTGTCTTGGTGGCTGGCTGGTTATTAAAGGGTGCTCCTGTAAAGTCCGATGGTGGGGAAACTGTGTCAGAGAGTTTGTTTCCAGTGCCTCCTGTGTGTGTGTGTGTGTGTGTGTGTTGGGTTTCCCAAGATGCCGTGGTCCCTGAGTTGCTTCTGAGACATCCAGAATGAGAGTGAGTAAGGATTTCACCTGAGTGTGCGTGGTAGATCCAAGCTTGGCCTGTGAGGTGAAGTCCAGGTGCAAATAGAAGGGCCCCGGGGGGTTGTACTTCCTCACAGTCAGGTATGGACTGTCATGGGTTTCCGTATAAACTCCGTGGCAAGCAGAGTAGCGATCCTCGTGAGTCAGGAAGGAAAATCCGTTTCAATGCACCCTAGTTAATGAGCAGACGCTGGTTCAGACTTCTAGAGTCTGACCCAGAAGCAGTTTATTTTAGACATATCAAAGTACACTACATTTTTGGAACAAAGTTCCCTGGTAACGATTATCTCAGCCTCGTGTGCAGAATGAAGATTAAGGCATAACTCCATAGAAGGTCTCTTGCAACGGACACATGACCCCTCCCATGAATGTGGGTTCCATATCTTAGAGCCCTAGGATCTGACATGGCTTCAGTCATGCAGAGAGTACAGAGGTCACCGGGTTGTAACGTACATGGGACATCTCCCTGAAGGATAGGCTCCGTTGACTGGGAAGCCAAACTAACAATGAAGGCCTAGGGAGGGAGGGTCTGGGAAAACCCTATTAATCTGGGAGATCCAGGTGTGACCTGGCCCTGTAGACAGCACAGATCACCAAGCCGTAAACAACATCCACTCCCAACCTTCTAGTTGGCAGACAGATGTACTCATCTGTTCTGTTGAAGAGTCAAGCCTGTGTGCTTAACATTCCTGGTGCCCACAGCGCTTCCCTGCGAGCACAGAGACCCCGATGCCCTCATACAGACGGCATGCCACTTTGTGCGAGTACATTGGGGAATCTCTGCATTTGCCTCCTGTGTGTGTTCCTTGGGTCTTTCCAGGATGCCTGGGTCCCTGAGTTGCTTCTGACAGTGGGTAGGGATTTCACCTGAGTGTGCAGCACGATTCAAGCAGTAAGTGCCCAGACATGGCTCCGGTGACTGCATTGGCCATCAGTGGGTTGGTGTTTGTGATTAGACACCAGTATTGGGCCACTGGGTCTGGGGGCTAGCCCAAGCTTGGCCTATCCTGGGGACAAGAATTCAGCAGAAAGGGCCGAGATTGAGGCCTACGGGGTTGCGGAGAGCTCTGCGTCCTGCCAGAAAAGGAAAGGGACGGGGGACAGAATATGATTGGATGTGGTGATATATATCGGTGTCCCCCCTCCTGCGCCTCTTTGCTCCAGCACAGCAAGTGCCAGGACACATGGCCAAAGCCTGTGGAGCCCTGGTCCATGTTTCCATTGCTGTCATGAAATTCTTCTCGGTGTCTTTACTGTGCACGCCAACATTTCAGGAGTCCTGCCCAGCCCAGCCCAGCAAGGCCCCAAGCCATGTCAACCAAGGAAGAGAAAGACATGGAGAGGAGTGCCAAGCGCCCAAGGGTTGATCCAAATCTCCCATCAGATGACTCCCAGAACCCAGATGCCATCATGCCCGGTAACAACTGATATGGGGCATATGTGGCTGTGCCTAACCAAGGGGATATTCTACTACTCCTTGACAGGTGGAGCACAGGGCTGGCCTGGTACTAACCAGGTCATCCTATGGGGCTCCAGGGGTAGGGTGTGGCGGGGGGGGGGGATTCAGGTGCTGAGATCTGATTCTCAAGCATGTTCTGGGTTTCTGTCCCCAACTGATGTTCTCACCCCATGGCGGAAGTACAAGGCTCACAGGGCCATTGGTCCTGGCCAGCATGCCTCTGAAGAAGTCCATGGGTCACGGTGAACTTCCTTGAAAGTCTTGCACAAATACATGTACCTGCTATCCCCAGACACTGGCTGAGCTGAATTTCACCTGAGTGGGGGGTAGGGGGTGGGGGATGGGAGGTGGGGGATGGGGTGGAGGGTGGGCATTGGTTCCTGGAAGACTACTTTGACACTGTTGTTGGGCACGGGCTCAGCCAACCCAGAGTGGAGCTGTTTCCCGTGTGGGGTGATTGTTCATTCACAAAGGTGTTCCCTTTCTTCTCAATGCAGCAAAGAATCCAGCAGTTGATACCAGTGAGGTGGGCAGCTGTTACTCAGGATCAGATGTGCAAGAGGCGAGGTGATGTCTTAAAGGAAATTTGACCTGCCCCAGGAGGTGGTGTCAGTGTGGTTTTATGCAGGCATACAAAGAAAATTATGTCCTTGGCTGGAAGATGGATCCAAACAGAGAGTTTGGTGTTAAGTGAAAGCAGCCAGTACCTAAGAGACTACAGTCACCTGTTTTCCCTCTGAGGATCCTAGATTATAAAGCAGGTCCATACAAGGAGAAAACCCAAGCCCAGAAGGGAGACTGGGGAGAGGTGGGCAAAGGCTTGGGGAGCAGACGCTGACTCTGGAGGTTGAATATGGTCACGTGGTATGGAAGTTGAAGAGAGGCTTGTCTGGGTGATAGAGCAGGCCTAGCAGGAGGGCACTGAGGAAGGATGAGAATGAATATGGCTGATGGCTGGAGTGCACGACACATGGGTGAGTACGCCTTTATGAACCCCATCGCTGCCGTACAGTGAATGGATTCTGGTAAGCATTTAGTACAAAACCCCTATACTGCCACAACATAACAGGAAGTCACTGCCTGAGGAGTGGAGACACTTTTCATGGAGCTTTTATCTGCCTGAAGTTGGGCAGGGAATGCCGGGGAGGCAGTTGTCACAGTCATCCAACACCCAGCCTGAGGTTGGTTTCCTGGGGATACAGGTGACTATGAATCACCCATGCTCCAGCAAGCAGCCCTTGCCCATGTGCCCGTATGAACCTGCAGCGAACTCAGTTGGTTCACCATGAATACATGAAGGAAGGAATTAAAAACAGTGACCCAAAGAGGGGAACATCCGGCTTTCCCCCACATAAGTGCTAGTCTCTGCAAAACCACATGCCTCACCTTTCTTTCAAAGCAAACTTTGGATGTTTGTCTCCACTTAAGTATTCTTGTGTGCGTTTTCCACAGGGAGCCTGTTCAGAAGAGGACACAGGATTTCAAAGGTGTGTTTGAGCAGATGTTGCTATCCCAGAGCTCTCTCTCCGAGCCCACAACTTACTCGTGGTGAGAGAACCTGGGCACCAGCCAACAGGACTCTCTGTTAGAGTTCCATGGCACAGAGGGTTTTGTTTTCGTTTTCCTTTTTGCTCTTGTTTTTTGTGGAAGGGTATATTGCCATTTGTCCTCCTGGGGTGTGAGGGTGTGGGGGGTGGCGGTGGTGGGTACCACTAGCTTGACCTTAGCTAGCTGCTCTGAACAGGGTGCTGGGGTAGCTTTCACTGAGTCAGTGGGGAGTGTTTCCTGCTTCCTGCATTGATTGCTGAAGAGTGTTACTAGAGATGATGGCAAGCACATAAATCTCTGCTTTTTATCTTACTGCACCAGTGGTATGTCACATTTCAACAACTGTTTTTCACATTCTGAATCAAGTCATTTTTCTGGGTTTCTGAAGTCGCTCTCCTCCAGGAAGCCCTGCCAAAGAGGGCATGGAATACAGCCTGAGGGCCAAATGTGAATCTCTGAGCCTGTCAGGGAATGTCAAAGGCAGCCACGCTGTGGCCGTGGAACAAAAGTGTGTGTGTGTGTGTGTGTGTGTGTGTGTGTGTGTGTGATAGCATGCAAACATCATGCATGCCACACGAGCTCGCTCTCTGTCTTCAACGGTAACCAAGTCAGTGTAACCACACTCCACCCTCCAAGCTGAGGCAGCTTTTATTCACTTGTGTAGGCGGTCCTCAAAGAGCATTACTAGAGAGGCATCGTCAATTCTTAGGCAGCGTATAGAGTCAATTCATACAAGCCAGGGTGTCTGACTTCTGACAGCATTGCGCTTCCTGATACAGAGGAGCTGCTGCTTAGGCTCTCAGGTATCCAGAAAATGGTTTGTCAGTGGCGGTCACTCGTCAAAGCACGATGCCCCCCATGCCTGTATGCCTAGCACTTAGGAAGTGGAGGGAGGAGAATCGGGAACTGGAGGTCACCCTCACTTGCCTCTCAGGTTTGAGACCAGCCTGGGCTACTCGTGACCTGGTCTATAATTAAAAAAAAATACAGCGAAGAGCAAAATGGACAGAGGATCTATAGATACTCTTACTGCTCTGTAGGAGATGTGTCAGGGATGAAAACGTGCCTCTTCCTCCGGATAATTGGTTAACGTGATACCATTTCCTTTCTCGTATAAGGTAGCATTATCCAGTCCCTTCTGGCAAAGAGGAAGCAGTTTGAAAAGGACATAAATGCCTCTTTCCGAAGCCTGAACAAAAACCTGCAGAGTATTTTCAGAACCCAACAGAAGTCAAGGTAGAGTTCCGACCCTCTGTAAAATTAGACCCGTACAACTTTTCCTCTTCCTTGCACAGTCACTCCTGCCTGCCATGGTGACCCTGCACAGAGTGGAATTGCTAATGGGACCTATGTAGCAATGTATTGTCTCTGTGAGCTAGCCATGCTCATAGCTGGCAGCATCCCCCTTTTACATAGCTGAGATGTGTTAGCTGCCAGGTGGGCAAGAGAACAATCTCTCCCCTATCAAGTAGCAAGGCAGATAACTTTCTGTAGGGAAGGACAGTCTTCTAGGGTCTAGAAAACGGTACCTATTAGGAGATACCACCCCTGCTCCTTTTGGTAAATTGTTGTGCCCGTGTGGGGAAAGGATCCTATGCGTTCTTCTTGTCTGTAAGTGACATAGGATGAAGGGTATGTTGCCTTCACAATATGGGCTTTGACTCTCAGAATCTATAGGTTACTCCATTAGGGGAAGCGAAGATGAGTCTAGTTTTAAGTCAGAAATGCAATCTTGGGAATGGTGTGCATCAGAGCATCCTAGGTGTTTGAGAGGGAAGACACGTGAAATGACATCACTGGTAGCTAATTAAAGCAAAATTCTTCAGGGTTGGGATCACATTTCTCCTGCCTCTCAAGAGTCGCTTAAATCCCCTTTCTCTTTTGCTCCTGGCTCTTGTTTCAAAAGGATGAGTGTGTGTGTTATTGCCTTGGCCTCACGCGGTGTGACAAAGCTCAGGAATTGATACTGTGTTTTACAGGCAGGAACTTCACTCCATGCACTCACAGATATTTGAGTCCCTGTATCACAAGTGGCTGGACGAGGTGGGGAGAGCAAGGGAGCAAGAAGACCACCTCAACGTGAGTGTTGCTCTTGGCTTGGAATAGATCCGCTGTGCCCCTTCCCAAAGTGGCAGGGCTTCAGTGCAGCAGGTCTCGAGGGACAGGACAGGACAGGACAGGAGCATGAGGGAGACGAGGAGGGTGGTGGATGTGGCCTGGAGGGGCTGGCCGTCCTCTCTGGCTTGCTTCTTTTTCTGTGAGGGGAGGTGTGTTCATGGGTTAGGAGCCAGCATAGGAGTGAGGCTGAGTGGACACTGCCTGAAGAGTGCAGGAGAAGGTATGGGCTTGTATGCTCAGAGGGAGCCCTTTGTGATCCACACAGTGCAGCTGCAAAACAGTACAGGACAGACGGGGTGGAAGTGGGGTGGGGTCCCGGGTAGCCTTCTGACACAGTGGTCAGGGAGGCAGAGGGAGAGCAGTCAGTGTGGCTGTGCCGGAGCAGGTGGAGGCTTGGCGTTTGTGGACGCCGAGCAGCGCTGTCTTTGAGGGATCTTTCATCCTGATGGAGGACAGAACCATACTGCCAAAGGCCCTGCCTTCCAAAGGTGGGGAAGCAGCGCCTGGGATCAGGGGGGACATGGAGGCAGCTTTCAGTCTGGCGGCCAGGAGCATGTCCTCTGAACGCCACTGATGGGGATGCAGCCACAGTCCTGACACCTGTGAAAGCCCGGGGGCATAATTAACCTCCCTGCCTCAGTTTCCTAGGAGTCAAAGCAGACCTGTGAAGAATCCATACCTTTCTAGATTTTGTGTATTGAGTGGTTTCATTTTTTACATGTTGCTATGGAATGTTTGACCTCGTGAGCTGATGTGTGTTTGCCATTTGTCTTCGAGGCCCTTCTTATTTGGGTGGTAATGTAGTTGATGGAATGTCTCAATCTGGGGAATGACTGATTGGTGAGGATGATTAGGTCAAACCTCTTTCTATTCTTCCTTTTTGGAAAGAAGGGCTTCCTTGGAAGCTAATGTGTCCTCATCATATTAAAAAATATGTTATGGCCAGGCAGTGGTGGCACACGCCTTGAATCCCAGCACTCGGGAGACAGAGACAGGCGGGTCTTTGTGAGTTCGAGGCCGGCTGGTCCGACAGCCTCCAAAACAATACAGAGAAACCCTGTCTCGTAAAACCAAATAAATAAATAAAAATATTTTATGTAAACAAAGGAATTCTTTGTACTTAATTTTGGTAAGGTGAGGAGCCACAGATTATTAGGTGGGTCTTATTGACAATTTCAAAATAATTATTTCATAGGATTTTTGCACAGGCCTGACAAGACTATCGCAATCTGTGACTGGTCAGACCATGGTACGTTGCTTTTGGCATTGAAGGCCATTTCTTCAATCTTGTTCATCACGAGTGTCACAACACAAAGCGTCAAGGGATCAGTTCCTGTAAGCAGGGCTGGATGTTCATTTTTACTGACATTTTTTCATTGATTTCCTCTATTTCAGCGTATAGCTCAGCAACAGATGAAGATCTTACAGAAAGCTATAGAGGATCATGAAACCAAGATTGAAAACGCTAAAGATCTATGCAATGCATTTTTGAAGGTCTGGTAGAGTGCACTCGTTGACAGAACACACCCTCATGTCACACCATGTGTCTATAAAAGCAGAAGACAGATTGGCCCTTTCTCAGTTTGTGGGAGAAGCAATTAGTTTTGAAAACTGTGATCACACTCTCCTTGGAATATTTTCCCACACATAGGAGAAATGCTATGGTTTGTTTAGCTTGGGAAGCTGATGACAGGGTTGGGGACAGTGTTCTAGCACGGAAGCCGATGACTGGAAATCTGCTTAGAAAGGAGCACACTGCATCGCAGTGATGAGTTATTGACCTCTATCTGATTTCAATGGAAATCACCAAGTCTGGGATACTTCTGGTGTTCTTTGACTTGTTTTGATTGGACAGGCCAGCGAAATAAGTAAAAGGACAAGGGCACTTTTAATTTTCTTTCAGGTTCAGTGTTTTTGCAGACTTCTGACATTAGCATTGTACTTGATTATTTATTGGTGGCCATGCATTTCAGCAGCTCCCCTGCTGATGTAGGGAATGAAAAAGCTGGTAGAGGATTAACCCTCTTTGAATTGAGGGCTTGGATCTGGCAATTGTACTGTTACTGAAGCTCCTGGTGCTAAGTGACACCTACATACCCAGGAGTTGAAGCAGCCCTTCAATGGGAATTCTTTTTGATGCTCATTAAAATAGATTATGAAATATCTCTCCTCAGATCTGATTCAGATGCCTTAACTAAAGTGCTCAGTGTGTCATAGTAAACTAAGTGTTTTCAGGGTGCCGGCGAGAAGCTAGGTCTGTTTTTGCTGAGCAAGCATGAGTTCACCAGATAGTACCCTAGCGAATATCCCTAGCAGCCATGTGTAGTCCAGGCATGGCGCCATTCCCCTATGGCCCCAGAGAAGTGAGGCTAGAGACATAAAGGATCCCTGGGGCTTGTGGGACCACCATTCCAGCCAAATTGGAAAACTCTGTGTTTAGTGAGACACACTGCCTCAAAAAGTAATGTGGTGAGCGGTTCAGGACGGTACACGGACACCCTAGCACACATGTAGGTATGCCAACACGTACACGTGAAGGACATGACCTTGAGTTATTTTAATGACCTCTGGTCTCCACACTCAAGCACACATCCATGCACACCCTCCTGCACACAGCCATGCACACAGAAAAGTAAAACTGAATTTTCAAGACCCCGGGAGCCCTCTGCATACATCCAGTCCTTTAGGAAGAGCTTAAGAAAAGGGGACATGCAGCTTGAATGCAGATAAATACTGCTTGGGAGCTGGTTGAAAGAACCGACCAGAAAGGCTTGCTTCCGACTGAGTGCTCAGTGTGAGCAGCACCACAGAAGGAGCCTTGTGCCTGGACCTCTCTGGCTTCCCAGATGATCCCTGCCCTTCTGCCCTGTGCCCTTCTGCCTCTCCCACTCTCTAGATCGCCCTCTGCCTCTCCATCCCAGGCTTCCCTCCTTTCCTAGTCCTGGGCTCTGCCTCTGAGGGACTGGTGTCCTCAAACATGGAGTTTCCCTCCTCCAGATTTCCCGGTGGCCTTCCTTCTCAATTCTCTCTGTTCCCTGTGTCCTCTGAGCAACTACCGCTCCCATCCCCCCTCTACACACACACACACACACACCCTCCCTCTTGGAGGCTTCACCAGCACACACACACACACACACACACACACACACACACACACACCCTCCCTCTTGGAGGCT